TAATTCTGACAGGTGGAGATGTTATTCTGTCTGATTCACATCTAACATCTATATACATTTTCGTATTTCGTTGGTGGTTAGGTTTAACTGGACGTAAAGGTAGTTAGGGTGTAGACACATATGTCACACCCACACCATGTCCAACTAATCATCCAATTCGTTTATCAAACTGCCTTGTTAAAGGAAAGAGATGACGAATTTTCGTGATGATGACTGAATAATGTTCGATAACGATCACAGGTTCTTTGTACGAAAGTACATGCACCACTTATCTTATATAGGTATAAGATAATGGGTCGAAATAGCTCAGTTGGTAGAGCAATGTCCGCGATAGACAAGGGCCTAGGTTCGATTCCTAGTTTCGGCATCATGTTTGTCCATGTTATTTATTGGACTAGATGATGGTGTAGATGATTCTTTACGGAGAATTATCAAGAACACTGCACACTGTGGTAATATTAATCATAGGCGGGAGCCAGATTAATATTGTCGGTTAATTCTGACAGGTGGAGATGTTATTCTGTCTGATTCACATCTAACACCAGTCAGTATGATAAGCAAATATTGTAGATTTCTGCTTTGCCAACAATTAAACAGCGCATTTATTCCTTTTTTCCAACTATGTTATCAAATATTTGTTCTCGTTATTCTATTTGATACTGCGTAAAAAAACACACGTATCGAGTTTTTAACAGAAAACAGCGGCAATGCTTTTTATCATATATTTAAATATTTTGTCTTCAAAGTTTCTCTCTGCGTCTTCCATTATAGTAGAGTTTTAGAAATCGTTAAGCATTAACTTACACTCGTGAGTAATTGAATCTTTTACATATACTGACGAATATTTTTATATGAAGGAAAATTTCTTATTAAATTCAGACAGTCACTATCTTTCCCTAAGCTCTGCGCTAGATCCTGTTCGTAGTTTCTTTTATTCCAGAGAGAAGCTCTAAACAACTTGGTTAATCTAAAATCAATCGCTCTTTTGAAATAGGTTATATAAAATGGGAGATCCTAATGAACCCATTTCAAGCAGTGAACTGCTCGAAGAATGTTTGAAACGAGCTGATGAAGAATTCTTCCCCAAATTATCTAGACGTGTGGGACAGTTTATCGATGTTTTTAATCACGATCTGATACAAGAAAAAGTAATTACTTTCATTAATGGATATACAAAATTATTAATACCCATTCGACGAAGTAAAACCGTATTTGATATCCTCAAAAACATACGCGAACTAATATCGTATGTAAATCAATTTGATTTGTTATCAACATTACAATCAACTCTATCTACTGGCTTTGATAGTCTCCTTAACAAAGAAGAGCTCAGTTTTTTCGACGATGACACATTAGATTTAGATACGCTATCAAAAAAATTCCTTGATTTTATTCAAAACCAGCGACAAGATTCATTGGGCACGTCAGATGAAAGAGAGGAACATATGACAACATTCGATGAATATCTTCAATTGTGGGAAGCGAATCGAACGCGCATGTGTCCAGATAAACGTCATCAGATCAAATTGGATATAATGGCAATGAGAAAAGAATACGAAAAGGCACGTTTAGAAAACTGGACTGCAGCAGAAGTAATTGTGACTGATATTCGAAGAATATTTGCGCCGTTAGAAGCAAAATTGGCACCAGCTCGCTATGTACAGTATGGGACACTTGGAACGGCAGCTGCGATCTCTGGTAGTCGGTATCTTGGGCGTGGTAAAGCAAATTGGTTTAAGGATACGGAGAAATATCTTGCTGATTATGTTTGTAGCAAAAAATCAGATGATGAATTAAGAATGTTTCTTTGCGAAGAGCGTCTCGAAGAAGATTTCGATATATTCAAATCACTTGTAGTTCAGTGGTTAGATATTATAGAATTGAGAGAATCGAACCAGCAACACAATGGCAATAGTTTCGTTGATAACATTCTCTCGACTTTTTTAGGTTACGTCAGAGGATTTAGAATCCAACGATCAGATATTGCTACCACAAAAAACTTGCCATCAAGTCGAGGATTACGAATTCCTAAAGAGACTGTATTGATCGAACTAGAACGTCTACGTAAGTTTTTATATGCAGTTATTTTGAATAAGCCAGCACAATTACGAGAACACGGTGAGGTGATGGAAAAATTGGTTCAGCGAGCGACGTGTGTGCGCAATACGAATGACAATGGAGCGTGGATACCATGTATTGCATTCGGTCAACTGTCTATTCCTGGTGGAAATAAACATATTGTTACTTTTGTTTTTTTGCTTGACTCCTCGATTGATACAGAAGACGAAGCTAATCAAATTCTATCAAAGCTGGCAAATTTCTTCGATAATATTCGATCAAAGAAAATTGTACCCGTCGAAGAATCAGGTTCTAGCCTATATCAATTACATCTGGATATCGCTATCAGTGACAACATACCACAGTTAATTGCACGTATCATAAAGAACTTAGCTGACTTAAGTATACGAGGTGTCTTAGTTGGTAGTTTCGGTCTTGGCGGATTTCGACACGCAATGAATCCAACATTTAATCGAATTTATAGCGTGGAAGAGAAAGATGTAGCAGAGGGTTTTCGACCAACTTGGTTTTTCCCTGCTTTAATGCGGGGTGAAGAACCATATTATTGCCCAGTTGGTTGGCGTCGATTTTCTATTGATGTTGGGAAAGATAGAAACCAATTTGAGAACGATTATAGACATTGGCCTTGTGCTTATCATGGATCCGAAGGACATCGAGCTATGTCTATTTTACTAAAAGGTTTACAGGCGTGTAATGTTAATGATGGATGCTATCTGAAACCCAACCAAGGTGCTGTCTATTTAAGTCCAAGTATAGAATATTGTGGTCATCCACGTTATGCACGTGTATGGAAAGTGAAATCAAAATATGTGCAGATGGTTTTACAAGTACGAATCGATCCTGAACTCTTGTTTGATAAACGTCCAGGAACATTGCCCGGTGCTAATGAACATATAAGAGAGAGAATAGATCCAAACTTCTCCAATAATGAATTGGAATGGGTAATACACTGGCCACCGAAGACAATGATTTCAAAGCTGAATGGAATATTGGTTTATGGTGTCATGTTACGTGTGACTGATCAGCATCCAGGCTCTTTAGATCAGAATAAATGGTGGTCTGAATCACGCAAAAAAAACTATTGGGATTATTTTTAATGATGAACTTGCACCGATGAACTGATAGCACATTCTTACCAAAAAAAGTGATTATTAGTTCTAATAATAAACTAATCGTTTTTAATAAAATTTCTATTCTGAATGCAAAGCTTTCTTAAGGAAAAAGTGGGTGTGGGTGTGGGTGTGGGTGTGG